TTACCCAGGTTCCCTAAAGATAAGACTTCACATAACATTACAACAATTATCAAAACAAGAAAATTAACATTGATATAAAACTGTTAACTAAATCACTTATTCAATTTTCATCACTTTTCCCTCTAATTTCCCTTTTTGGTTCCAGGATCTTATATTGCATTTAGTTGTTATGTACCATTAATCTCCTCTAATCTTCATCAGCTCTTCAGTGTTTTGCTTCTTTCAGGAACTTGACAATTTGAAAAGAACTAAGTTCCATACTTTATTCGGATTTATTTACTTTATCCTTAATGTTTTTTCTATCACAGGCTCCCACTTAGGGTATCACATTACTCCTTATCATTAGGCTGCTTTAGACTGTGACAGTTTCTTACACTTTCCTTGTTTTTGGTGATCTTGACAGTTTTGAGGAGTACTAGTTAAGTATTTTGTAGACTATCCCTTAATTTGTGATTGTCTGATATTTTTTCCTCATGATTAGTCTAGGGGTTTGGGCTGTCAGGAGGAAAACTACAGAGGTAAAGTGCTATTCTCATCACCTTATATCAAAGGTACTGCTACTGACTTCCCACTAATGATGTTAAGCTGGCTGAGGTTGTGTTTAAGTTTCTCCACTGTAAAGTTATCCGTTTTTCCCCTTTTCTATATTGTATTCTTTGGAAGGAAGTTAATATGCTCCGCCCATACTTAAGGGGTAGACAGTTTTGATCCATCTCCTTGAGGGCAGAGTATGGGGAAAAGGCTCAGAGTTTCCACGCCCTCTCCAAGCGAGCCACTCTCCGTGAATCTCCACGAGTTCACCCACCTGGAAGCTCTCCAAATTCCTGTCCTTTCTGGGGGTTTGTGGAGGCTTCAGTACACAGGCATGATTGATTAACTCATTGTCCATTGGCAATTGTTTCAACCTCCAGTTCCTCTCCCTTCCCCAGAGGTCAGGGTGTGGGACTGAAAGTTCCAACCCTCTAATCACGTGTTTGGTTTTCCTGACAACAGCTCCCATCCTTAGGTTCAGTCCAAAAGGCATTTCGTTAACCTAACAAGAAACACCTTTAATGCTCTCATCACTTAGGAAATGCCAAGGGTTTTGGGATTTCATAAAGAGGGACAAAGACCAAATATATTTTCCTATTATAAACCATGATATCACAGACCTGAATAGGTATTTCTCCAAAGAAGGTATACAAATGGCCAACAGGTACAGGAAAAGGCACTCAACATTGCTAATCATCAGGGAAATGTAAATCAGAACTACAATGAGATATCATCGCCTCATCTGTTCGAATGGTTATTACCAAAAAGACAAGAGATAAGAGTCGGCAAGGACTTGGAGAAAAGGGAAACCTTGCATGCTTTTGTGGGAATGTAAACTGGTATAGCCACTGTGGAAAACAGTATGGAGATTCCTCAAAAATTAAAAAATAGAACTACCATATGATCCAGTAATCCCACTTATGGGTATATATCCAAAGGAAATGAAATCAGGATCTTGAAGATATATCTGCACTCCCATGTTCACTGCAGTATTACTCACAGTAGCCAAGATATGGAGACAACCTAAGTATCTGTTTAAAGATGAATGGATAAAGAAGATGTAGCATATACATACACAATGGAACACTATTTAGCCATAAGAAGAATATCCTGCCATGTGCAACATCATGGATGGGCCTTGAGGGCATTATGCTAAGTGAAATAAGTCAGAGAAAGCCAAATACTGTGTTGTGTCACTTATACCTAGAATCTAAAAAAAAAGTCGAACTCAGAGAAACAGAGGGTAGAATGATAGTTGCCAGGGGTCAGGAGTTAGGGGAAATGGGAAGATGTTGGTCAAAGGGTATAAACTTTAAGTTATAAGATGAATAAGCACAGCATGGTGACTATAGTTAATAATACTGTGCTATGTACCTGAAATTTGCTAAGAGGGTAAATCTTAAGCATTTTCCCACACAAACACACAGAGGCGTGAAGTGATAGATGTGAATTACCTTGATTGTGGGAATCATTTCACAGTGTTCACATACATCAAGTCATCATGCTGCATACTTTAAATATATATAATTTTATCATTATACCTCAATAAAGGTGGAAAAAATTAATATCAATGGTATTTGTTTTTAAAAATAATTACTTTCCACAATGGTTGAGTAGTCTCTTTTGTGTATAAACTTGTATCATTCCTCTTCCTAAAGCTGATATTTTAAATAGTATTAAATTGTTTTTATTTTTTATTGAGGTATAATGTTCATACAATAAAATCACCCTTTTTAGTGTACAGTTCTGTAAGTTTTGACAGATGCATAACACCATTACAATCAAGATACAGAAGTATTCTATAACTCCCCCAAATTTCCTAAGGCCCCTTTGTAGTCAACACCTCTTCCCACCTTCAACTCCTGGAAAGCACTGATCTGTTTTCTGACCCTAAGTCTTGCTTTTTCCAGAATGTCATGTAAATAGACTCTGGCTTCTTTCACTTCCCATAATGCATCTGATATTCATCCATGTTGTGTGTATCAAGAGTTTAATCCTTTTCATTGCTGAGCAGTATTCCATTTATGGCTATACCACGTTTTGTTTATAGATTTACCAGGCAAAAGACACTTGTGTTGTTTACCTTTTGGGGTGAAAATGAGTGAAGCCACATATGTTTTGTACAAATAAATATTTATGTACATGTTTTTGTGTGAACCTGTCTTTATATCACTTGAATAAATACCTAAGAGTGGGATTACTAAACTGCATGTTAGGTATATGTTTAACTTTATAAAAAAGATCAGATTGTTTTTGAAATGGAAATCACCAAGATGAGATGTCACACTCATTCCTGATCACAAGTGGGGATGCAAACTGGGGAGCAGAGACAGGAAAGTAAAGCTCCAGATGCCGAATCTAACCTGTCATCCAGTTCTGTAAAATCGATATATTCTTCCCCCATTCCCCCATCCTCACCTCTCAGAGGAAGTAGGACACCTTTAGCAGCATGCATAAAAGTGTACTGTGTTGTGAAGCCTCCCATGCTCTCCATTATTCTCCTCAGTTTATCAGGCAGAATGGCTTATCTGAGGAGACGAGTGGCAATGACATCTGAGATACAGTAACATCAAGAGAACCCCCACCAATTATTTTGCCTATTACCTTCTTCTTTTCCTTCCCTCTAGAAGGAAGGATAGGACACTGGGGCAACAGCATTAAGTCTGAAGAGAGAAATTATACTGGTGTTGGTTAAGAGATCATGTTTCTTTACCTAGTCTTTCCTGAGTATAAGGAAAAAACAAACAAACATGGGACTAGGGAGAAGCAATTAATCCTTCCTACAGTGTCAAATTACTTTTGTCTTATGTCTAAAATACACAATATGCAAAGCTGACTTTTATTATTAACTACTGACCGATTTATAAATGTTATTAGAGCAGAACAGTGTCATGAATAATCCCCAAAGCAGATTTGCTCCTCCTATGCTGATTTGACGCTTGTAAGGAAATACATACTGGGGACATATTACTTGGCATGGAGAAACCACCCTGGGGCTAGAAAGCTGAACAGTACACAAGTTAATGTTTATTGTATTAGTCCTTCAAGGACCTTGCTTCAGAGTCCTGTGGAAAGATTGAAAGGAACTCGGGGAATAAGGGGGGGGGGGGTAAGATTATCCAAGAAGGAGGTAACTAGACAGTAATGATTTTGGAGGGGTGAGCAAAAGGTTGCAGTAAAAAAAATGTACCTTTTTTTCTGCAAACTGTCTTTGGTTAAGAGCTACAGAATAACTGAGTTTATTAGGGGCAGAGCAAAAACAAAAGGGGGAGCAGAGGATTTGTTGGACTTAAGTGGATGGGTTTTCAACTTAATATAAAACGAACTTTTCAACAAATAGAGCTGCTCATTCAGAAAAGGTGGCCTTGTGTGACTTGGGGTTCCCCATTACTGGCTGTGTTTAAGACTAAGTGCAATTATCCTGTTATAAATGTAGTAAACAGTATTCATGTACCCTTCATTCTGCAAATGTTTACTCTGTACAAGGTGCATGCAAGAACATGAAGAATCAAACCTAGATTTGCTCTCTGCCAGTAGTCAATGCAGTGGTTCTTACACTTTAATGTGTATACACATTCCCTTGGGGATTTGTTAAAATGCAGAATCTGATTCTGTAGGATGGGGCCTCAGACTCAGCATTTCTAACAAGCTCCCAGGTGATGCCCATGCTGCTGGTCACTATAACACATGCTGAGTGACAAGGGTTTCTAGTAGGTAATGAGACATGCATATAATCATAATGCAAAGTAAGAATTAGTAAATACCACATAAGTCCCATTAATTATCAGTAGAAACCTGAATCTGCTCCAACAAGACTGTCGTTGCCCTTTTCTACCTAAGTATTCCTTCTGATGGTTCTGTTGCTCTCTTTCTTGAATTTCATTTCTTCTGGGGTTGCTCACTGCAAGTGCTGTTTCTTAGCCTAGAATAGCTTTCTCCTTCTCCTTATACTAATTTTAACAATTTGTCAAGATTTATCTCCTGGGACTTCCCTGGTGGCGCAGTGGTTAAAAATCTGCCTGCCAATTCAGGGGACATGGGTTCGATCCCTGGTCTGGGAAGATCCCACATGCCGCGGAGCAACTAAGCCCGTGCACCACAACTACTAAGCCTGCGCTCTACAGCCGAAGAGCCACAGCTACTGAAGCCCGTGCGCCTAGAGCCCTTGCTCCGCAACAAGAGAAGCCACCACAATGAGAAGCCTGAGCACCACAACAAAGAGTAGCCCCCGCTCGCCGCAACTAGAGAAAGCCCGTGCGCAGCAACGATAGACCCAATGCAGTCAAAAATAAATAAACAAAAATATTTTTTTTGAAAAAAGATTTATCTCCTAATTATTCCCTGTTCCCTGGGGACCCAGTCAGGCTGTCTGCTCCCCATAGCACTTAGTTTTAACCTCGAGCAATTACCACTACTACTTCCTTAGCTTTCAGGTGCAAGTCCGTTTTCTTATTCCTATAGGAACTCACCTCTCCGGGATGCCTGTCGAAAAGACGCTACAAAATGAAAACGTCTGGCGAACCTGAGGCCAGGTGAGGGAGCGGGGAAAAAAGCAATGCCGCTCCACCGGGTGCGCACCAGAGCCCGTGAGGGGACCCCGTGTCCTTCGGTGACCGTCCCCACCCGATAGCAATCCCTGAGGCTCAAGCAACCAAAGATCTCGGCGCAGTCTCGCCAGCGAAGCAGTCCTGGCCCCGCACGCGGTGGATTGCGGAACCGGCGCCCCCGTCTGGCGCTGAAGGCTGCGCGCGGCTGCCCACCATCGAGGCGACGGTGGCTAGAGAGGCCGGCGGGCCCCGAGCGCTGCCGCGGCGCGGCCGCAGGGAACGCGCGCGGGGCGACCCCGCGTCTCTGGCCTTGTAGCCATTTTAGGAGGAAACCCGGGTCGCTAGCCCGGGGCGTGGCTTCAATTTCAATAACTTTATTGGTGGCCTTATCCGCAGAACATCCATCGCACCATTGGTCCCGGGAGGAGGCAGAGCATCGCGGGAGGTGATTGGGGTGGGAGCGCCCCTGGGCAGTGAGCGCGGAGGGTGCGGGGGAGTTTCCGAAAGCGGGTTTCTTGAGCAGCGGGCAACTAGGGGGATTGGGGGTTCCGGGGGTTCCTGGCGGCCAGGGAGAGAGGGCGGGCTCCCCGGCGCGCGGCTTTCCTGGGGCGGGGATTCCCTTGCCCGGGTCCCCAGACGCAGGGGCGGGGCCAGGGGCTCCCCAGACGCGACCGCTGGGGTGTCCCTAGCCCCGTGTTGTTCCGCACGGCAGGTGGCCCCCGACTCGAGCTGCACCGCCATGGGAAACACCACCAGCGACCGGGTGGCCGGGGAGCGCCACGGCTCCAAGGCTGCGCGCACCGAGGGCGCCGGCGGCCATGCCCCGGGCAAGGAACATAAGATCATGGTGGGGAGCACCGATGACCCCAGCGTCTTCAGCCTGCCGGATTCCAAGGTGAGTGTCCCCACGCCCCTAGTTGGTGGCGATGCTGCAGTAGTCTGGGTGTCAGGGCTCCTCCTCCCTATTTTGATTTTTTCTTATCACACTGACCTGGGTTACGGTTTTTAGAATTAAAGGCTTTTTTCGGGGACGGAGGTATTGAGTGGTAATTCCTTTCGCGGTGCTGTCTCAAAGTAGGATAGAGGCGGAGTTCTTGTTACTCGACTACTCTTTTGGCCACATTTTTAGGATGAGGCCAACAAACCTCCGCCCGGTCGCCCTTGGTTCTCCTAACAGGCACCCTCTTCTAGAGTACTGATGAATTTGTAGGTTGTGAGCCCTGGTGAAAAACTTCAGAGGGTAGGTTACCCGAGTTGCTGACCATAGGCGGCATTTCCTCACATTTGCCTTGAGGTAGGTAAATGAATTTCTTTTTCCTGATAACTGTTGTGTATCAGTATCATTTTTGCCCTTCTGAGAGCTCATCACTTCAGATCCTCTTCCCCTTTGGCATGGCTGTGAGCAGCAACCACTTGCTTATATGAATACTTTCTTCTAGTCTTGGGGATCAATAAAGGACATTATTTGGTTGACTGCTTAGTTTTCATCTCATACTTTACAGTAGTCTTGGCTGAGCTGCTTCTTTCACGTCCAGCTGCTTCTCAAGTGGGAGAGCAAATAATTCCAGGATTTCTCTAATTTCCGGTAGTACTTCATAGTGTTACCGCGGCTGAAAATGGACAACCCACAGTTGCCCTGAAGACCTTGCTCTCAATCAAGGACTTTCAGGAAAGTGGCAACTTGTATTCACCCTACAGAAAGGATAGATGGAGCTGACAGCAATGTAATTACTATTTGAATGTTTCTAATCACTTTCAGAGTTGTAGGCATTAAATACATTAATTCCTCCTGGTAGTCTGACTAGAATGAAGTAGAAAAATGGAGGGGTTGGGGAGATTGGGGTAGGTTTGATGTTATCACTCATCCTGTCCCACCCATCTGGGGTTTTATTTTATTTACTCTTGTAAATAGAGAATAATTTGCCGGGTTGATAACACATGAGATGTGGATTCTACTGTTTATTTTCTTGGATCACAACTGAGAACATAATCACAAAGAGAAGTGAGGGTGATTTCTTGGGGTTTCTTCTTCGTTCCTTTCTTCCTTCTCCCACTTCAGGACTTCTTCCTCAACATTTGGGCCCTCTCCTCAGCCATCTGAATTTACTTCTTCAGAGCTTTCTCAAGGTGATTGTATTTTTACCAGTTTCCTACATTGGTGACTCAGGATTTAAGTACAGTGTATTTGTCAAACTGTGACTGCAGTAATCGGCGTCCTGAATAAAAGCCAGGTTGCTCTGTCTGAAATGGAGCCTATTTTGGATCATTCTTTCCCTTACCTCAATCTTGACATTTGTGAAATAAGAAAATTGGTTCAAATAATTCCCAAGGTCACTTCCAAATCTAAGATTTTATAGTTCTCAATCTACTGTATTTCTTCCCTCAATGTTTCACTTAAACATTTTTCAGTTATAATTCTAATTGTTTTGCCTCTTTTCCTGATGATTTTGCTGACTATTTAACTTGGAGTAAACAATCTTTTTGCTAGTCAGCTGCACTCATGCCTACCACAGAAATGTCATGTCATACGTGGAAGGGCTTTCTTCCAAAGCTAGGCATATTAATAGTTTGTAGCTTTCAAATTCTAAACTGAAACTATTAAATCATACAAGTAAGTAATAGAAACAGTGGCAGGCGGGCCTACATTGCTTCAAATGCCAGCCTTCTTCCGTTTACTAGTTCAATGGTTTTCAGTCCTATTTGCACATTAGACTCACCTGAGATTTGTTTGAACACTGCATAGAAAATTTGAAACATTTTCCATGTTTCAAAGTCAGGAGAACAGTGTAATGAACTCCTGTATTAACTGTCATCCAGTTTAAACAATGATCAAATCATGAATGAATTTATGTCACCTATACCCCAATCCACTCTTCCTCCACCAATTATTTTGAAGCAAATCCCAGACCGTCATATCAAATATTACTTTATTTGTAAATATTTTAGGATGTATCTCTAAAGATGAGGTTTCTTTCTTTATTTTTAATATAATTTCAGTATTATTGTCTGGGAAGCTTTTTAAAAGTAGATTCCCGGACCTTATATCTGAATCAGAATCTGAGGCATATGTAATTGTTAGGCATATGTAAACATTTCTGTAATTCTAATGCAGCCTGTCAAATAAGAGTTCATTGCTTTGAGAAAATGGAGATCAAACTTTCCTCTTAAGCCACTTCCTTATATAATGTGAAAGTTCCTTCAATTCTCTTTGTCTGCTTGCTTTGGATTATGCTGCTACTGGTATCTCATAGCGTAGTTTTGAGGAATATTGAGAGAGAGTATGGAAGGTAGTCTGCCTCAGCCATTTTGAAAGTAAAGCCCAAATGAATAAACTAGTCCTTTTTTTTTTTTAACCCACATTATTTTATTTGGTAATATTTTGGCTTGGTACCATATAGTCTTATTTACCAAAGTTATTTAAGCCAATCTGAAGTGGGGGTGAGCAAACTTTTTCTATAAAGGGCCAGGTAGGTAATATTTTAGACTTTGCGGACCATACAGTCTCTGTCACAACTACTCACTTCTGCCATTGTAGCATGAAAGCAGCTGTAGAAAATGAGTAAGTGAATGAGTGTGGCTATTTTCTGATAAAACCTTATTTGTAAAAGCATCTGGCTCACTGGCCATAGTTTGCCAATTCCTGTTCTGAAGGATGGTAATGAAAAGAAACTAAGTAAGGAGTCAGTTGTTTTTCCGGAATCCTACATACTTCATTTGATATTGGAACCACTTTTTTAAAGGAAACTGTTTTTGATCTGATGCTTCTTGGGACTCCAGAATTTTCATCCCTACTCCTGAAATAACTAGTACAAACCTGGCATAGGTGAGCAAGTAAGATTTCATAACCATTTCTCAAAATTTATGAAACCAATGATCTGATTTATATATATATATATATATATATATATTTTTTTATTTTTTTTTTTTTTTTTTTTTGCGGTACGTGGGCCTCTCACTGCTGTGGCCTCTCCCACTGCAGAGCACAGGCTCCGGTCGCTCAGGCTCAGCTGCTCCGCAGCATGTGGAATCCTCCCGGACCGGGGCACAAACCCGCGTCCCCTGCATCGGCAGGCGGACTCTCAACCACTGCGCCACCAGGGAAGCCCTGATTTTTATATTTTTAATGTCCTTTTGTAACCTATTAACTAAACTAGAGATTGTGAATTACTTATGAATTTTAGCATCTCTAATTTCTATTACAACTGATAAATTGGGAGCTGCTCATATTTGCATGTGGTTAACTTAATTATTTTTTGTAGAACCATACTTTATTTTCATATTTTTTCTCTTAAGAGACACTCAGAAGCATATCATAATTGTCTGCCTATGAGTTAATCTGGTAAGAGGAAGTAAGGTTTTTTGTTTGTTTGTTTCTTAAGGGAAATCCTAAGGCTCTGAAAGAATGAGTGGTACATGCAGACTCAGAAGTTAGGCTGTGATTTGGGTAGCCTTTGAGCATAAGCCATTTGACCATTTTGGTCCTAGATGAGTTCTTTTTCTATAGTTTGTTCAAAATCTGATTTAGTTGCTAATTTCAAGGCTTATTAATCCTTAGCAGAAACGTAGCACCCCTCTCTGCCCTAGGGAGGAGAGTGACCTTTTCAGAATTCCTGGGTCACAATTTAGGGATGACCTAATCCTTCTTACAGCTCCCTGGGGACAAAGAGTTTGTATCATGGCAGCAGGATTTGGAGGACTCCGTAAAGCCCACACAGCAGGCCCGGCCCACTGTTATCCGCTGGTCTGAAGGAGGCAAGGAGGTCTTCATCTCTGGGTCCTTCAACAATTGGAGCACCAAGATTCCACTGATTAAGAGGTGAAGACAAGTGTCTTGGTTGAGTCTACAGGGTCCAGGAGTAGAGACTTGATTTCCTTTCTTAGGAGAGAGACCTGGCTGGACTACTCCTCTCCACCTGCTAGGGACTCTCTCTAGAATATTTTCTGTGACCAATAAGTATATCTGTGACATTTTTTTCTAACCTCATAGTGAGTCAGAGATGTTTTACCACTTAGAATGTCATTTTCTTTAAGACTGTGTTAACACAAGTCCTTTCTATGCTTGTGGGAAGTCTTCCATAACTGCCTGAGTCCAGTTGCTCTGACTTCTGCACTAAAACAAAACACACTGTAAAGTTCTAGGTAGTAATGTTGTTTGTTGCTTTCAGAGCAACAGTGAATTATGTAACTGGTTATGGCCCTTTGTATATAGGTAATTTTCTAGAATCTGCCACCAAAATATGGGAAGGGTACCTTGAGGCACTTCTTATCCTGAACCTACTTGCTATCTTATTTACATTCATGAGGGATCCGTTTTGCTGAAGCAAAATAGTTGTACTAAGGTGGAACATTCGGGAGGATTAACATCTTTATTGTTCTTTTCCAGATATTAGTTAAGAACTGAAGTTATTGGGAGGGGCTAGCAAATACATGCTCAAGGTGATATAAAAAAGGAGAATGGGTTTATAAATTATTTTTTACTACAGGGGTTGCAATCACTTAAGAATGCAGGAGATCATTGGTATGATATTGTGATTGCCTCGTGGTTTTTACATTTATATTCTGTCTTCTAATAGAAATTTGGCCTATTTAACTTTCTGTTTTCTTCTATAGCCATAATGACTTTGTTGCCATCCTGGACCTCCCTGAGGGAGAGCACCAGTACAAGTTCTTTGTGGATGGACAGTGGGTTCATGATCCATCAGAGGTAAGGCCTTGATCTCCGAGGGTAACCACTGACTTAACAGTCTCCTTTAAACTATCATTCCCCTTGGTGTCAAACATCATTGCAGTCAGGACTGATAGGCTCCTATTCTGTTGGATTTCTTTCTTGATAAAAGATGGTGGTGCCAAGTATGATCCCTTTTAAAAAGAGGAGAGTTGAATAGAAGAGATGTATTTGAAATGGGGTTTCATGAATTTTTTTTCCATTCATTGTTTCAGCCTGTGGTTACCAGTCAGCTTGGCACAATTAACAATTTGATCCATGTCAAGAAGTCTGATTTTGAGGTGTTTGATGCTTTAAAGCTAGATTCAATGGAAAGCTCAGAGACATCTTGTCGAGGTAATTTTGTAGTATTTGCTCTTTCTTGATCTGTTTTTCTTATAATGCGTGTTTCTTCCCAAGAGTGGTTTTTGTTTGTTTTTTCATTTTCTCCTTAGGAATCTTATCAATTGTATGTATATGTTTCTCCTATAAACATTAGGTACCCGTCTTCAAGAAAAAAATCTGTCTAGTGTATTTGATTTCAAACTTTTTAACCAGTAGGTTTACACTGTAACCCAGTACACACTCACACACACACACACACATACACACACACACACACCAGTAACACAAGTCTTACAGTATAATATTTGCCTTTATTACACGTAAAGTACTCTATTTTATCCTTCTTTTTATAAACCACTAATAGGCTATGGTCTATAGTTTAAAAAGCTATTTCTAGCAATATTTCAAGTTTTTCATTGACCTTTGAGAGTATCAACTAGCAGGGGCTAGCTGTGTCTCATATGCCTTGTTTAGCTGCCTCAGCTTAATCCTGCCAGTTTGATAGCTCAGTTGGCAGTTCTGTAATTTTATAGGGCCTACATATACGGCAGCTTTTTGGGGGAAAAGGGTTATGTAAACCTCACATTTCCTTTTTTTTTAATTAATTTCTTTAAATAATTAATTAATTAATTAATTAATTAATTATGGCTGTGCTGTGTCCTAGTTGCAGCACACAGGCTCTTTGTTGCGGCGTGCAGGATCTTTTAGTTACAGCAGGTGGACTTCTTAGTTGCGGCATGCATGCAGGATCTAGTTCCCAACCAGGGATCAAACCCGGGCCCCCTGCAGTGGGAGCATGGAGTCTTATCCATTGGACCACCAGGGAAGTTCCCAAACCTCACATTTCTTTTGTGTATATGTTAACTGAAGTTTTGTAAGTTTTGGGTTAAAAAAAAAAATCCCTTCGTAGAGGAAAAGACTTGTATCCTTTTGCTTCTCCCAGTGCTTTTTCCAAGGCCTTCATCTCTCCTTACATTAGCTATAAAACCAGAAAAGGGATTTGCTATCCATACTCACAGTTACCAATTTTGTTGTTTTACAGTAAAGGCTATGACTGTCTAAAGAACTGTGTTTCCAGTAAGCACACTTCTCCCTTGTGAGTTCAAAGCCTGCCTCTGCTACTAACTAGCTTTGCATCACGGACAACTCCTTCAACCTTTTTGGTTCTTGGTTCCTTATCAGTAAAATCAGAGGCTTAGACTCTCAGCGATTCACAGCTGAGGAGACACAATACCTGAAGTGAGACATGTTAGAATCTCAGGACACAAGAGTGGCTTATGTAGTTTCTAAAAGAATAAGCAATAGTATAATAATTGTTTAGGAAAATTACAAAAATATTGTTTTCATTATATAAGCTCAGAAAGTAAGGCTGGACATTGTTCTTAACTGGTGGCGCAGAGATTTAAAAGAGTTTAAAAATACTGAATTGAATGATGAGGCCACTAGTTACTCTAAATTTTTGCATTATATGATTCTAGCAAAGCAACCAATGAATAATAGACATATAATCATAATTATAGAGAAAGAGGACTAGCATACTTTTGATATTTCTCTCTTCCCACTTTCACCCAATTTCCTGATCCACTGAGGTAGGGTTTAGAATACATTTTATTAGGAATCTTCAGATAATGGGTTTTAATCTGCACTCAGTGACCATCTTTGCCGTGTATGTGACTTTGGGTAGATGACTTAACCATTTTTTTTTCTGATGGAAAGGGAAAAAAAAAAAAACTGTTCTATGTACTTGCAAAGAGTGTTTTTGTGGATCTATGATAAAATACCTGAGAGTACTTTGAAAAGTTTCAAGTTCTATACATTTTTAAGATATTGTTTAATATAACAGTATTTTTGCTACTCTTTTCTTTTGTCCCACGGTATATTTAATTGAAATCTGAGTTCTTATGCTGAACTGGTTGTTAAAATCCTTTTTACTAGAAACTGTAAAAAACATTAAAAATTTTTAAGCAAAAAATTATAGTTCTCTTCATTTTTGTGTATTTCTATTCTGTCTGCATACACTTTTTCCATTTTTTTAAGATATAATTTCACATGCCATAAAATTCACTCTGTTAAGGTGTGCAATCCAGTAAGTTTTAGTATATTCACAGAGTTGTGCAACCATCATCACTATATAATTCCAGAGTTTTGTTTTGTTTTTTTTGGCTGCGCTGGGTCTTCACTGCTGCACGCGGGCTTTCTCTAGTTGCAGTGAGCGGGGGCTACTCTTCGTTGCAGTATGTGGGCTTCTCATTGCAGTGGCTTCTCTAGTTGCATAGCACGGGCTCTAGGCACATGGGCCCAGTAGTTGTGGCTTGTGGGCTCTAGAGCGCAGGCTCAGTAGTTGTGGCACATGGGCTTAGTTGCTCCGCAGCATGTGGCATCTTCCCGGACCAGGGATCAAACCCGTGTCCCCTGCATTGGCAGGCGGATTCTTAACCACTGGACCACCAGGGAAGTCCAAATTCCAGAGTATTTTAATCACCCCCAAAAGAAACCCCATCCCCATGAGCAGTCACTTCCCATTGCCTCCTTCCCTCCGCCTCTGGCAACCACAAATCTACTTTGTGTCTCTATGGATTTGCCTGTTTTGGACATTTCATATAAATGGGATCATACACTACGTGGTCTTTTGTGTCTGGCTTCTTTCAGTTAGCATAATGTTTTCAGGGTTCATCCATGTTGTAATATATATAATTACTTCATTCCTTTTTATGGCTGAATAAAATTCCATTGTATGCGTATACCATTTTATTTATCCATTCATTAGCTGACGGACATTTGGATTGTTTCCACTTTTTGTCTGTTACAAATAATGGTGTTATGAACATTTGTGTTCAAGTTTTTGTGTGGGCATATGTTTTCATTTCTCTTGGGCATGTGCCCAGGAGTATAATTGCTGGGTCATATGGTAACTTTGTGCTTAACTTTTGGAGGAACTGCCAAACCGTTCTCCAAAGTGGCACACCATTTTACATTCCAACCAGCAATGGGAATAATACAAAGGTTCCAACTTCTCCACATCATCGCCAATAATTATTATTGTCTGCCTTTTTTTATTCTAGCCATCTTAATGAATGTGAAGTGGTATCTCATTGTGGTTTTGATTTGCATTCCCCTAATGACTACTACATTGTTATTAATTTTTCCTTTTTGTTGCAGTCATCGTAGTATCAGTAGTCTTAAAGTTTATAACCTTGCTGCTTGACTGGAAAAAAGAACAAATCTAATATTTTCATATTGTTTGATAGTTTATAAGGCATTGTCACATCTGTTGTCTCATTTGATTCCTATAAAAGCACTGTGAAATAGGGCAGAGATTGTTATTTTCATTTTATGAATGAGGAAACTGACTGTAGAAGAGGGATTTGTCCCAAGTCATACAATTGATAAATGGAGTAGCTCTTCCCTGAACCTACATCTTTTACCCCTCATCTCCTCCCCTATCCTTCACGTCATGTTACCATGTTGAGGAACTTCATGGTTTATGTTCAGGATGACACAGACTTTTTCTTTGTTTGCCTTACAGTTGTAGACCCAACAAGTCACAAGTTTATGATTCTTGACTTCTACCATATTTAATATTAGCTGCCATGTACTGACAGTTTTTTCATGCATCTTTAATAGCTCTCCAACTTTCCCTTATATTTGAATAAATATCTTCCAGACCTTTCCAGCTCACCCCCAGGGCCTTATGGTCAAGAAATGTATGTGTTTCGATCAGAGGAGAGATTCAAATCCCCACCCATCCTGCCTCCTCACCTTCTCCAAGTTATTCTTAACAAGGACACTAATATATCTGTGAGTATCCTAAGAGTATTGCTGGGGCATCTGGGGGTTACTAGACCATTTGAGCTACAGTGTAGTAATCGTAGAGGTTGGGATTATTACAAAGGTGTGTTGAGTATAAATCATATACGTATCAGTAGCTTTACAAGTTCCTTTTTCCAGGGCTGAGTTGCGACTTTTCCAAATACTGTTACCAAAATTCATAGTTGTGTTCTGGTCCTAATATATCAGGCTCAGAGCTATGGATTGCTAGAACCAGTTTCTAAGACTTCTATTCCAACATAAGATAAGGAGTATTTATCATTTGGGGATATCCAAAAGAAGTATATTTTGCATATAATTTACATTTCTAGTCAATTCACTTGATTCCCACTAAGATTATTTTTGCCTCTTACACAAATCTTCTATATGTGTTGTGGGCAAGGTCTGTTAAAGAGGATGAATAGGTAGTGAGGCTAAGGGTTTCTGCCCTGGACTCAGAATTTTCCTAATTTTCTGTAATGAGAATGTATTATTTATATATACTAGGATGAGTGCATTATTTAAAGGAAATAATACATTCTAGTTTTGAGTTTCTCAACAGTCCCAAAGATCTCTGAGGAAGAATAAACTGGTTTAGGATTGTGCATTTAACCCCATTTAGTGGTGTTTTTTTGGGTTTGTTTTTTTTTTTACCCCTCTTAGTGTGATCCAGCCTTGCTCCCCGAGCCCAATCATGTTATGCTGAACCATCTCTATGCATTGTCCATTAAGGTAAGTGGTGGGCCTGGTTCTTCACATAGTTCCCCAAAATGGGAGGGGAAGAGTTGAACACGTGTTCCCTAGTGGCTACTTGCTCTGCTGCTTCACTGAAGCTGAAGCTGGCAGTAATGGTCAGATTATAGGAGAAGAAGTTTCTTTCTTTAACTAGTGGGTTTGTTTGTTTTAAATTTTAGTCTCGATATCTGAGTTCTGGCTAGCTGAATTGCGCTGTGATTGAATGGACTTTTTTGCTTCCTGGTTTCTTTCTGGGTAGCTATAACCTTTGCACCACCTACTTAATTAAGTTTGAGTTCATAGTACTAGGATTTCATTTACAGAAAAAGCAAGTTTACCTTCCAGTTCAAAGAATGCTTGAATGTGATATTAAGGCTTCCATTTTTTTAGAGGTGGACATGAGCTGCTTTCAGCTGCCTGAGTCATATATACCCAAGTGCTTGCATCTTTCCTATCCACTACTTAAAGGAGAAATGTGACCAGACTTGCCCTGTTCCCCCCGCATCCCCGTCCCAGCTCTTAGAATGCTTCTTGGTTTCTCTGCTGCTTTAGATTCTGGATTGAAAATATCTGTTCAGTCTTGTCATGTCTTTGTGGTCTGGCTATTGGAATAATATTTTATATAGTTCTGTAGTTACCAAACTAAGCTGAACATCATCAGAATCACTTGGGGGAAGTTAGGGAAAATATAGATTCAGAGGCTCCATCCCCAGGGATTCTGAATAAGTGCATCTAGGATAGGCCTCAGTAATTTTTTTAAGCTGCTTATATTTCTTAGATGTGCAGCCAGATTAGGGAAATCACTGATACAGCTGTCTTTAACAGATTACCTGGTACTTACTAAATGTATATTATTGAATTTAATTTTTATAATAACCTTGTGGGATAAGTATTATTTTTTAACCCTGTTTTATAGATAAAGAAACTAAGGCTCATAGAAGGTCATATTGCCAATAAGTACAAGAGAGAGGACTGAGGTCCAGTCCTCCCATCTTTATTCCATGTCCTTTCCTAGAGACCATTGTGCTGGTTCTTCCAAGTAGATCTTTCTTTCTCTCACCCACTTCTCATTTCCACCAAACTCTTTCTGGAGTTGAATTTTTTACCTGCCTTGCTTCTGTCATTTTTAGGCTGTGATCTGCATACTGTGGTCACAGAATGTCAATCTGAGAAGTCTTCATTGTAGATGATACAATATAGAGGAAAATAGGAAGAGGCACTGGTTTCTTAATTGGATTTGCTTGCGTTCTTTGTGATCTAACTGAATTTTGCCTCCTGTATCTGCTCTTTGGCTATCAGGTGATGTCCACAGGTCTGCCATCTCTTCCTATGGTACACCCAGGGTCTGTAACACTGCTTGGGAAATGGTACCTCTTACTCTTCACACTGGTTCTGACCCAGGTCAAGGTCTTGATTGTTGTGGTTCAGCTTGGCCTTGACCTATCCCTGGTTTTCTCAGATTGTTTAAGCTGTTTGGAACTGATCCATTGGATTGAATGTCTTTCCAAGGAGGATTTTAGGGTCCACTTTGTTCAAGGATAGAAGATGATTCCTGAGTCCCCTCTTGATCAGAGATGACTTTTTTTTTTTTTTTTACTTTCATTTGCATTTATTTTTTGCAGCATTTATTCCCGGGCCATAAGTTTTTGTTTCTTCAATTTCTTCTGGGATATCTTTTTCTTCTGGGCAACCTCCTCTTCTGGTTTAGGAACAATCTGTTCTTTTTCAGTAAGGATCAAGAGATGACTTTTTTTAAAGTTCATCCCTGGTATTAAATGGGGCTTGGAAATGGTTTTTCAAAAGGATCACTGCCCTTTTTTCTCATTGCTTTTAAGACTTCCTTCTAGAGATAGATATCAGGATATTTCTTTTTTTCCATCATAGTTGTTTTTTTTGTTTTTGTTTTTTTTTTTTTGCGGTACACGGGCCTCTCACTGTTGTGGCCTCTCCCATTGTGGAGCACAGGCTCTGGATGCGCAGGCTCAGCAGCCATGGCTCACGGGCCCAGCGGCTCCATGGCATGTGGGATCTTCCTGGACCAGGGCACGAACCTGTGTCCCCTGCATTAGCAGGTGGACTCTCAACCACTGCGCCACCAGGGAAGCCCTTTTTTTCCATCATAGTTTTAAGCCCAATATTTGAATGTGAGGTGGGGAAGGAAGTGAGGTAGGAGACTAATATTTTTTCAGCACCTACTTTCTCTGTCAGATATTTTCATGTAATCATCAGAGCCATATTAATGGTAGGTGTTGTCCTTTGTAATGATGAGAAAAAACTTAGAGACATTAAGTAGATTACTCAAGGTCACAAATGGAGTAACAGTAGGAGTCAGGATCAAAACTTAAATTGATTTGAATCCAAAACCAACCTTTTTTTTAATAATATCAAACTAACTCTGTTAAAAGTGAGCAGTTGTGAAGGATTAATGGCTGGGAACAGCTGCCTACGTCCTGAACTAGTGAATTAATTACATATGTTTATTTCCCTTGCAGGACAGTGTGATGGTCCTTAGCGCAACCCATCGCTACAAGAAGAAATATGTCACTACTCTGCTGTACAAGCCCATCTGAAGGGATTCCTTCCTGCCTCCCAGGATTCAGGAGAAGCATCTCCCTTGCCTTTCTGGACTAGACCAGTCTTACCTGGGACTGGAAGGCTGATTTGCTTTGAGGCTAATATGTGTGTTTCAGAGCCTCTGAGTAGGATGCTCTGCTTTTGCATTTGATTGCAAATGAGAGCTTTAGGAGTTCATGGAATTTATTTTAAGAAAAAATCATATACACACACACACACACACACACGCACACACACACACGAGACGAAAGTTAATGGAAGCCTCCTAGCTAGACGTATTCTCTCTACCGGTGGGAACTCACCAAGATCTGTTGGGGAGAGCTGCAGGAAGAACCATGACAGGAAGCTTTTTCCCTAAAGTGAATGAAGAGCAAACTCTCAGGATCCTTGTTGGGTGGAGATTCTATCACTGCTACCTTGGCTCTCCAAGGGATGGACTTGTGCCAGAGTGCTGCCCTACTTACAGCTGCCTCCTTGCAGAAGCAGCTTTTCTTGCATGGGTTCTCTGTATTCCCAGAGTATGTGCACAATCTGTTTTTTATATGATACGAGGTACCCCACAAGAACCCTTTTTCCTCTCATTTCACATTCTTGCTTTGTTAACCTCCTTCAGATCCTATATCTGACTCTTGCCTAACACAAAATTCAGTGGGTAAGTGACCCCTTTCAAAGGCTGTGTGAAGGCTTCCCTGGTGGCGCAGTGGTTGAGAGTCCGCCAGCCAATGCAGGGGACACGGGTTCGTGCCCCGGTCCGGGAAGATCCCACATGCCACGGAGCAGCTGGGCCCGTGAGCCATGGCTGCTTAGCCTGCGCGTCTGGAGCCTGTGCTCCACAACGGGAGAGGCCACAACAGTGAGAGGCCCGCATACCACACACAAACAAAGAAACAAAAGGCTGTGTGAGACCTGACCCACCTTACAGACTAGGGCAGCCAGAAAGTCTCCTTTTTAAGCTCAGCACAGGCCCATGACACTTTGTCACTACTTATTTTAACTTCTACTGAAGAAAATATGGCTCAGCCTTATATGAAAGGCAGAATGCAGGTCTACTTTTTTGTTTTGGTTTGGTGCCACAGTTTAGGCTGTATTGGCACATTCCCATACTTTTTCCCACCTGGTTTGCCCCTGCTTCCATGTTTTCTTTCACAGAGCAGATAGCTTTGAAGGTGGGAGTGAAGCCAGAGAAAACTTTCATGTCTTTCATCCTTGGAATATTTTTATGTGCCTACATTTTTCTTTTATCAGAAAATGGCTTTTCGGGCTTCGCTGGTGGCACAGCTGTTGAGAGTCTGCCTGCCGATTCAGGGAACACGGGTTCGTGCCCCAGTCTGGGAAGATCCCACGTGCCGCGGAGCGGCTGGGCCCATGAACCGTGGCCGCTGAGCCTGCGTGTCCGGAGCCTGTGCTCCGCAATGGGAGAGGCCACAACAGTGAGAGGCCCGCGTACCGCAAAAATAAAACAAAATAAAATAAAAATGCCTTTTCATTGGTCTTAAGAGACTGCATTTGGAGAACTTCAGGCTTATGATAAATTGCCCCCAATATTTTCTTCTCTAGTCTGGCCCCCTACAGTCTTAGATTAATAAGGCTGACTCTGTGTACGTCATTACAGTAAACATTGCTCTAGATACAGACCCATTCAGGCTCATTTTATGCACCTAAAAGTGTCCCTCAACTTAAGGATTCAAGAGGCAAGAAATTACCTTTGGTGTTCCCAGCCATGAAAAGTATCCCTTTCATGCACTAAATGCTAACAGAGTTATCTTGTTCTTCTGTATCTTCCAGAAAGTGTTTGTTGATGAAGTGGGGTCAGTGATTTCCATTTGTGGAGTAAAAAGTATCTATTCAATCCACTCTTGAGATTCAGAGATAAGATATTTTTCCCCAAGTTTCTGTGGCTCTTCCATTACAGATAAATGCAAGCCAAACATTCAGTACTGAAGGAGGCTAAACTTGTTGCTGGAGAGGCTCCTTGACTGCTAAGATGAGCCCAGCCCCACTGAAAGGGCACCCACAGGTAAATTAGCTACCTCCTGTCTTTCCCATGTAAAGCTGATGATACAGTTGTCTTCCAGTATGTAGAACTCTTAGATCCTGTGTGTGAGGCAGTAGGGTGTGGGATTGTTGTCTTGCCGGGAATGTAAATTGCTAAGTGCTTTGGTGGTTAATTGCTGAGAGTAAATACTGCTTTAGCCACTCAAGGCCACCATCTGCCTCAAAAGGCTTTTGTGGAGAACGTTTTATGGTTCCAATCACTTTTAGAATGGTGTGCCATTTTAAAAATCCAGGCCAAATTCTGTTACTACCAACTCTCAGGATCTACATTGTCTTCAGTTATACTAGAATTTTGTTTTTTCCATTACCCATTAAACAAGTGGGCCACTTAGGAGGATTTAATATCTTGGTTGTCACCTAGAGGATTTTGTTGTACTCATATGTCTTGTCAGCAGTATTGACATGTAATTTTCTCTGTGTTCCTGTGTTAAAATCTCTATTCTGCACAGATAATTAGAGTGTGGCAGGAAAAGAGATTCCTTCAGCTTCTCTCAGGCCAGAGGCTTCTGTGAAATGGGTCTGTCTCCAGTGACAGTAGGTTTTGGTGCTGGTGACCTTCAGATCCTTCTAATCTGGAAATGTGTAGAAAGTGTCACTTTTCCAAATTCTGAGGTAATCTTTCAGCCAGATGTGAAACTGGAGCCTACCAGCTGGTATGGAAAGGGATCAGTAAGAGGAATTGGATGATGACTCATTCAGCCCTGTCCCTCCTCTGTACTGCTGATTAACATACCACGGCCTTGAGAATTCCTATCATACTCTCAGTCTGTCCCCTAGAAACTGTTCTAGAAGGTTGCGAGGGAGGGAGGAAGGTACCCAAGAGTACAGTTCACTCATTCTTTTATATTGGTTAAAGGGATAGTTTATTTTCTGCAGAAGAATTTGACAGATTTTGAAAATGAATAAAGGAAAAAAAATGTTGAGGGTTTTTTAAATTTGTTTTGCCTATAAGAGTTTCACAAAGAGCAAGAATGTAATTCTTAGGGAGGGCTGACTCGAACTGTATCATGGTTTAGGAGTTATGGGAAAAAGAGTAACTGAGCTGAGGAGTGGTACTAGGAAAGTTAAGGCTTAAGTAACTCGGAACTAAAAATATCCTTTTTTAAATTAAATCAAACATATACTGGTGTCTTTGGATCTCATTGTACAGAATTTACAGTATAAAAAATCTTTTTCTTGTTTCTATTTTCTACACTTTCTCCTATGTTGTGCTTTAACTTCATGTGTCAGGCAGACTTTACCAGGGTCTAAAGTCAAACATTACCTAAAACAAATATTAGTCATCTTGCTGGTAAGGAGAACTTCTGTGTTATGGTTATTAGCTTGTTTTAAGCTTAGAGTTGAATGAGATTTAATCACTGTAGGCAAAACCCCTGAAGGTCATACCTGGCCTCAACAGTGTTGGCTTTTTTTAAAAACAGTGCTTATATATGGTAAAGAAGCTCTGTAAAAGAAGAATCCAAGAGAGGTTTCTGACAGGATCCTACAAACCCAGGCCCACTCACTTCACCCCAATTATTTCTAGTCTCGTAGACCTAATGGATCTGAGATAAAATCTTTGAAAAGTGTTGGTACTCCACATATGCTGCTAAAATGAAGGTAAATTCAGAAAGAAGTGTTACCTCTAGACTGGTCTTATATTAATCTGGGTATAAATGAAGGAGACACATTAATGATATAGAATCCCCTGCTTTTAATTGGGGAAGTAGAGCTTTTAAATTTTTGACCTCAACTAAAAATGATATGCAGTAGTCTATGTTTGCCTATGTTTGAAATACATTCTATTCTCAGAGATTTCTAAATCCTCACGTTCTAGTGATTTGGGGCCTAGGCTTAAGAGCAGATACACAGTTGGTTCCTGCATTATTGTGACTCATCCTTAAAGCCAAGTTGTTGCTGTCTTCTAGGAACTGCTGACTCTAGTTACCCATGGGATGGAGGACCTGGGAGGGATAGGAGTTAGGGTCTTTTAAAACTCTGGATCTAGGCATTTGTCTCTCCTTAAGCACCAGTCACAACTGGAGGCTGAAGGGCTGTGATTTCTGAAATGAACTGAAACTTCTGGAGTAAAAAGGCCAAATCTTTAAAAAGTATAAGAAAACAGAAAGAAAAGGAAAGAATTCCAAGAATCTGTTACTTACGAAATCCAATTCTTCGCAGTGGAATCCCTCCAGGATTCAAATTTGGGCTTTGTCTTGATTTGCTTTACTCAGTTGTGCTTTTTTTTTTTTTTTTTTTTTTGCGGTACATGGGCCTCTCACTGCTGTGGCCTCTCCCAATGCGGAGCACAGGCTCTGGACGCGCAGGCTCAGCGGCCATGGCTCACGGGCCCAGCCGCTCCGTGGCACGTGGGATCTTCCCGGACTGGGGCACAAACCCGTGTCCCCCGCATCGGCAGGCGGACTCTCAACCACTGCGCCACCAGGGAAGCCCCTCAGTTGTGCTTTGAATGAATACGTTTTGTTAAAAATTAAATTTTGTTTTAGTTCCAGCATTAGTTGGAGTCGAATTTTGTGTAGCACAGTGCTTTTGCAGTAAGATCGATATGAAAAACTAAATGCTATGTGGATTTTATAGTCAGGTTAAAATGGTCGAGGAGGTACCTACTATAAGTATTACATTATGTGTTCATCATCCTATTTCTTTTCTATTCCCATCTACAGAACACCTACCCAGGTTGTGGTTTTAGAACAGCCAAAGCTCACTAATGTTGATTAGTCCTAATCTGCACACTGGGCCCCATATGTGAAACTTGTTTAAATTTTGGTAAATTGGAGAATGTTGGTTGTTACTACACTGAAGCATTTTGAGTGAGTACAGCTCTGTTACAAAGGGGGAATAAGACTATAAAGGGAATTAAACATGTGAGTCCTCCTTTAAATGGTGCTTTTTGTAACCTTTAGTGCTGCGATACAGAGCTGCTTTTCGGTATTTCACAAAGGAGTGGCATACAAGAATGAATTTTAAAGCTTTTCTCCAAATGTGATTTTTCACTGGACTCTGACATGTCTGAAAATTATGTGATATAACACATACAGAAATGTGAGGGTTTTTTTCCCGTAAAACTGTTGAATAAAAGTATTATACAGCAATAATATTTGAGTTCTTCATTGATTACTGATTATATTATCAAGACCTATCCACTCAATTAGCCTCAGGATCTAAAGAATGTAAATTGCCACACAGATACTTTTGAATAAAGAGAAAAGTAATAGGTATATGGGACATATGGTGTCATCCCTCCATCTGCCACCTTTTCTCTTCTTTTTGTTCCAGGCTCTGCCAACGTTAACTAGAGGAATGCAAACTCTGATTTGATTTTTAACACTTTCTGTAAACTGCACACTTAGCCATCATCCTGTGCTGGACTAGCTGAGATCCTAGTCTAATGAGTTTCAACGCTGGCTGACATTAATACTACCTATACAGATTCTATAAAAATATTGCTGCCCTGTCTACTACCTCCACCCCAATTAAATGAAAATCTCTGCTATGGGATCCAGGTATCTATATTTTTTTAAGCTCCCCAGGTGATTCTAACATATATCCAGAGATATATATATCCATTATCCTGGAACTTCCCTACTCATTCTTTCTCTGTCAGATATGTGCTTGAAAGCAGGTTATATACTTCATTCTGACAGCAATCACTTCCCTCAGATGTCTTTGTTCAGGGCCATGATTATAATATCCTTTTTGTTTTCCATCCCTTTATTTCATGGGGT